CCTTGGTGGCCTGTTCCAAAGTCTATGTGTTTATATCAGCAGGCCTATATAAGCGCCATACTTGATAATCAGATTCTTTCCAGACATCATGGACCAGACTTGGGAGCTGTCCGGGACCTTTCTCAAAACTGCCAATAAAAGTTCACAGAACAACGCCACCTCTGTGTGTCTCTCATTGTCTCATGTCTGGGGAAAAAAAACCACAGTAACACATATACAGTGAAACAAGACTTGAGCAATGCAAAATGTGTAGATGTGAAAATCACCGGCAGCAAACACAAACTATTGTAAAAAAACACAATTCAATGACATCATACCATTACAGGACTGTTGCCGCTTCCATGCAATCGTGGAAGCTGAAACATTTACATAATCTTCTGTCTTGCCACAGTCAGAGCGCTCTTGAGAAGCTGGTGACACCGGTGACAAACACGAGTTGAGCAGCAGAACGTTGTGAGTGTTTGAGTTTGGGGAGTCAGTAACAACCAGTTTAGATTGATTGATTAAATAATGAAAAAATCTTCTAGAAATAATAACACATTGTAAGCAAACCGCGGCCATACTTTACATAGTATCTTTACAATGTGTTATTATTTCTAGATGCTGTTTGGCGGCACGGTGGCTGAGTGGATAGCACTCTCGCCTCTCAGAAAGAAGGTCCTGGGTTCGAATCCCGGTTGGACCAGGGCCTTTCTGAGTGGAGTTTGCATGTTCTCCCCGTGTCTGCGTAGGTTTCCTCCGGGTGCTCCAGTTTCCCCTACCACTAAAAATATGTACAATGGGTCTGGCATGTGCCTCCTGTACTGGCACCCCCACTCTAAAAAATAACAATAGTAAACTGCTTTGAGACTCCGATGTGCAGTGAAAAGGCGATATATAAATAAAGATTACTTACTACTTACTACTAGTAGAGTAAGAACGTACGAGTCTTTCTGAAATAAATAATGTTAGAAGCATGCATTCTGGTTTGGCACTTCGTGAAAGATGATCATTGTGGCTTTAATAAATGTTAGCTTTATAATATTTGCTACTGTTACTGCTACTACAAACAGTAAGGCAGTGAAAATGAAGGCAGAAAAATGAAAACTATGGTGCTAAAAATTAATTTTTAAGTCTTGTCTTTAAGAATCATGAATAAGCAAAATGTATCGTTTCAAATGTTGTTTTATTTTGACACTGTCCACCTTTCTCATCCTCCTAAAATCGAGGGAGGCGCCCGATGGAGAAAAGGCGCATGAAGAGTCTTGCACAAGCATACGATTGCATGGTAGCACAATTCCATCTGAAATATCCTGTTCAAATGCAAAGAATTCCTAATCTTCTATCCACAACAATTATATTAAGAAACCGTAACCCTATTATACAGTCATTTTCAAAAGCCAAATCATTAATCAATGAACCACAACCAGGATTGGGGATATACAGACTCAGATTGTAACATGAGGCAGAGCAGCTTCACAAATTCCAAAGACGCAGCTATTTTCCACATTTGGTCGGTCAGTGTGGATTTGAAGAGGAACAGTGGTATGTTAACTATGTCCAAACAAACTCTGAACTGACTTCTGATTCCACTGGAGGTCTGGACACAGATCCAATCGCTTTAATTTATGAGAAACTTCCATGAGGGCTATTTTGTGTTTGTTTGTTTTTATAAATACACTTTGAAACAAAAGTTTGGAAGGTATCATATGAAGGGAATCTCTTCACTGTGACTAATTCTAAACCTGAACTTTTTCTAACCAAAGCAAAGGTCTAAATATGTATAAGTATTATATGGGAAATTAGAACGAGGATGTAACAATAATCAAAAAGGAATTTTTTTTTTGTTATTATTATCAAAAGTCTTATAAATGTGTTGGCTGTCATTGAACTCTTAGCTCAGTCCATAGAATTGTATTTCTTTCATTAAAATCAGAACTGATCCACCATTTTTATTTTTATTTCTGATGAAGATGTAACTATTTTAGCCATTTTGAAGTATTCTATGTGCATTTTCAGTGTGTATTTTACTGAGAAAAATTAAAAAAATTATATTTCTGTAACTCAATTTAACTAATAAATGAAGACTCATGACAAATGGCAAAATTGCGGTTGTTAAAATATTGATGGCTTTGGGATGTTTTACAAAGTGTGGACCATAATTATCAACATTATAAAAAATAAAGGCTTGATATATCTCTCTTTTTGTGTAAAATGTCGGCCATACATTATTTTTACACGGTAAGTTGAAGTACAAACGTAAAGTGGACTTTTGAGTCACATTCTTACTGCAGTCTTATTAGTAGTTTTCTTCTTTTCTCTTGTCAACTATTAGACCAAAGAGAAACAGGGGTTAACGATCAGGTTCTATTCACACACATTTGGAAGGCGGACAAGAAATGCTAAAAGTTTAGAAACTACTTTGAAGTTGCGTTCTTCCAACCACAGTCGCTCCATGCCACTGAGACCTGTATAATTCACCATTTCCATAAACAATTTCTCCCACTTCAACATGTGTAACACGACTCTGTGAGAAGTCTGCTCCCTCAGCTGATTGTGACGGTGGAAGTGGAGGCTTATAATGGCGTGCATTGTAGTGCGCGTCCCCTAGCCACTCGTGGGATAATTAAGGACACATTTGGGTCCATCCTGGGCTGGGGCCGTGGTGGAGTTAGTCCTGTTCAGACCCCACCTGCCTTCTGCATGTCTCTGAGCGCTGCTGCCGAGCTGATTGGGCATATCACTTTCACTCAGCCCCGCGCACACATCTAAGCACCTTTCTCCAGCAGTCCCCTTGTAAAAGCTACTCCACTGGGACGGCCCCTGAAATGCGGGCCTTGTTAGGAACGGAGAGTGCGGACGGCTGTGTGAGTCTGCTTTTCCTCAGCTGTTTCCTGCCAATTCACCGGGCAGCAGACTGTGAAGGCTCTTCGCTCCCCCCCTGTGCTCCGCTTTGAAATGGTCGCAATAGAAAAGTACTTATTTTCCCCCTTTTTCTTTTTTGGAAAACATATTTATGGCTCAAGCTCCAGCGGGAAAATGTGACTGTAAAAACTTGATACTTTCATTCTGCTGTGGAATGGATGAGTCTGGGAATTTAGCTTTGTTGTAGTGAAAATTATCCTTCATGATTTATTACGGTCAAAAACACAATTCTCTTCTTGAGAATAGAATTACTAATGAGAATTCAATATTCTGTATTTTACTTTGAGCATTGGGGAAAATGCATTCAAGCAGTTAGAACACACTTTCAGATTGTCTGCAATAAAATATATTTCTGTATTAAATTGAATTGAAGATAAAATAAAAATAACGTTCATTAACACCAAAGTCTAAGAAATGTGGGGGAAAAAATGCATCATCTGGACCAAGTGTGAACGTGTCTTAAAACTATCGCACAGGTGTTGGTTGGAATGACCAAGGTTGACCCCTGCTCCATAGGGCTGTTTCTGAGCAATGTAAATATAAGAAACAACAAAACTGAATAAATGGGACAAGATTATGAAAACAAAACGCTTTGAAAGTATCTGGCTTTGATTGCTTTGATACTCAATTGGTTTGATAATGTCCTTTAAGTTAAGTGCCCCATTCAGAAGCACTGGTTATTTCTGGGAGAACCTACAGTCATTCAACCACTGTTCAGATCAACACAAGGCCACATCGTAGACATTCTGAAAACTATTGAGCCCTTTTTTACGTCACTCCCACAACTTATCAATCAACGTGCATGTCTTTAGTCAACAGAGAATGTCTTTAGTCGACAGCAGGCCTATCCTCCAGCCCTCTCTGTTTTGGGAGTCCGAAGCTCAAGATACAAGGATCGGCTCCAGTCATCCACAATGAGTGAACGTGACGGCACATGCTGACTTTAGAGAGACAAGTCTGTTATCTGCTCCTCTGATCCTCCTTCGTTTAACCCCAGCCTCTTATCAGTCATACGCTGCTTATGAGCTTGAAAGGGAATTTGAAGTATTGCACTGACATTTTAAAAAGTATTCCGATGGACTTAAAGGCGGTGCTGTGTCTGTTCCTAGTTAAATTTGAGCTGATAACCAAGTGTTTTATGGTGTTTCACAGGAGACAGTCTGAGTTATCTGGAAGGCTGCAGTGGATGGATGAAGTGCTACGCCACGGCTGTCTGTGAAACCAGATGCAGGGGACTTTACCTTTGGGGTTATAGAAACAATTTAGGATAAACCAGCTGCACCACAAACCTGACTGGTGTGAGATGACACGTTGGCACCACTGCTTGGAACTAGGGGTGGGCGATATGGACAAAAATACATAACTCAATATTTTTTTCCCAACTCCCGATAACGATATTGTCACGATATCTTTAAAATCCATCATTTTCACACACAATGATCTGCAATGTTTTGCTTGCCAGGCCATCTATGGATAGAGACAGTGTAGATCATAATGAAAGCTTATGATTTTCTAAAGTGCTTCACAATTCTTTGCAAAACATGCGCTAACAAAAAGACGATAATACAAAAAAGCATATCTTCAAATTGACTTTCACGATATTATTGTCTATGATATATTTTGCACACCCCTACTTGGAACGTACGACAATCATGTTTTTTTGTGATTAGATGTATAGAAATGTGAAGAAACTTTTGCAAAACTACAGCTTCTACCACTTGCAAATGACCAATATCCACAAGTATTTTTATATTCTGTATATATACCTGTGTGTACTGATGTCAGCTCGACGAATACAGAACGACACATTTTGGATTCTTTGGAGCCAAATTCAAACAACTTTCATTACTATTATTATCATAACTCCATATTATTATAATTCCATACTATTATGATTCAGCCCCAAACACTTGATATATTGAACAAATGCATGTAACAATCCGTGATGGAACTAAACTTTTATGAGAGCGAGGAAGAATCATCAAATAGATTGAATTGGATTGTTGTGGTTTGAGCGTTAGGACAACACTGACTTTAACACTGACTGCACACATTCACTCAGTCTGAAAGCACCGAATAACGAAGCCTGAACTGACCTGCTCCAAAGGCGAAGAAGAAGCTCTTGTCGGGATGTTCCTCCAGCAGCGCTTTGACCCTTTTGCCCATGCGCTCGTTCCTCTTGTAGATCAGCTCCTTTCTGAAGTAACTGTCTATCTCCTGAGCTGTCTCCTGCTCACTGGGCGGTAAGGTCACATTTTTGAAGTTAGGCACCTAAGATGAAAAAAGGAATGGAAGAGTGAGCCGAATAGATACTGTTTTAAAAGCATATTAAGTGTTATAGTTTTTGCTTTGTACGTTTTATTTTTTGTTGACCAAAGAAAAACTCAAATGAATGAATGAATTATTTAATATTATTCAAATGTTGTTTTCTCACAGGTGCAAGGGGTTACTTAATTCAGGCTAGGGCTGGGCGATAAAAGGATAACAATCCCTATATCGCGATAGACACGTGTTCGATATCAATAGAAAACAAGGTCGATAGAATGTTCGATAGTTCAACTTCACTCCGTTAGAAAACACAGGAAGTTAAGCCGAGTCAGAAGCGTGCGGCATTCTGGGGGATGTAGGCAGAAGCTTCTCGACCTATCACAGCCGGACATGAACCGCAAAACATTCTGGTAAATGCAAAAACAACAACCGCACCATGCGTAGCGTCCATGGATCTATAGATCGTGTTTCAATACCGTGTCGATGGTTAAACACGTCCGGGCGAGGAACAACATGTGCGGCGTGGGAGAGGCAGTGGGTACAGAGACTCGATGCATTCGGCGAAAGCAAGAGATGAACTTTTTCCGAAGCCATCACGGGGACACAAGACACTCTATAACTGCCAAAACAGGAGCTAAACCAGAACTAAACCAGAACTAAACCAGGATTAAACCAGAACTAACAATAGGGGACACTGTGCTTGTGAACATATTCCTCGAGCCTCAATCCCCCGTGACTATAAACAAGGGCTGCTAACGTGTGTTAGCCGACACGACAAATGTATTTATTTAGGTTTAAAAAAACAAAAAACAATCAATATATACTGTTATCGACCGATATGAATTACTTATATTGTGATATAGTTTTCAAACTTATCGCCCAGCCCTACCTCAGGCTGTAATTGTATTGTACTTAGTGTATGATTGTGACAAATGTGTGAAAGGGGTTGGGAACAAATATGCATCCACTTCATCCGATCCCGTTTTAAACCCGTACACCTGTTTAAACCTTTAAACTAACTAAAACCAGCTGGATTTAGCGCACACACACTAAAGTAACAAACCACAAAGTGAGACTCATATAACGGTCATTCTGCTTTCTAATGCCTATTGAATTTTAAGAATAAATCTCTCTTAATTTCATCAGAAAAGGCCAATTTGTACGTGTTGACCTTCTGTCCAGGGACACAAACAAAGTATGGATTTATCATTTACACATTATGCCCTTTAATTCCTATAGATTTTGCGAGTCTGTCTGTCATGATGTCATCACAGAACTTTCTGGTTTTACTTCCTCTAATGTATTTAGTATAATTCATTCATGTATTGGTTTAGTTTGGGCTTATTATTATTATAAGGGGACTATTGAGGAATTGATTTTTAATGCGTATTTTATACTTATAACATCACAATAAGTGTAATGGGTGACGCTTTGATTCATGCACCATATACAAGTAAATAAAGATTAATGGACAGTAGAGACAAAAGTAGAAATTGTGATTTGTGCAAAAGAATCATTCACATTTTCAACTCAGAAACATCCAAATAAGCAGTCATAAGTACACCACTGGCATACGTGCAATACTGTAGATAGTAAATGTCAAGAGAATGAACTCACTGGAGAAGTTTGCAAAGATGCAGGTGCACAGAGTCAAGTCAAAGGGAGACAAAGACAAGTTAGAACAATGGACACGGGACAAAGCAGACGGAAAAGCTGAGTAGCACTCGAACAGAAAGAGGAACATTTGGTCAAATTGGCAACGGAGTGAAGAGGGGGGGGGGGGGGGGGGGGTTCAGAGGTTGTGTCAAAAGGATCACACTGGTCAGAGGACAGACTGACCCCCAGCTTATTAAGGCCAACAACAGGTATGGGCGGCACAAGGAATTATTTATCACTGCTCTCTATTTCTTGTTTCAATAATGCGTATCTATTTATTTGACTGCGTTTTTACAAGAACTTGTTGCACAGTGGAGACAAGTCAGTGTTGCAACCAGAGACTAAATAGGTATTGCTCACTCCCTGGCTCAATGAAGAGGGAAGTGCTCATTAAAGTTTTGTAAATCCTCTGCTAGCAACAAACTCGAGCAGAAACAGGGCAGCGCCGCTCCTGATTGGCTATTTGGTTGCTAGGTTGTTCCTACCCTAGCGCTAGTCGGCAAACGCTATGGGGGACGTTAGCTCTTGAAGCTCTCTACATCTGTACTTGGCTCCACCCCAATTTGGAGTGTTTCTACCCACCTTAAAGTAGAGCAGAGTAGGGTAGAAACAAGGCTCAGGTTCAACCGGTACCAGGTACTTTTTAAGTACCTGTTTTTCCCTGGTTCTAACCAAAACCGAGCAGGTACTAAAATGTTCTAACTCCCAGTGATTGGCTAGAGTGCTGCTGGATGCCATAGTTACCACAGAATTTCCCCGGATATTGGTTTGTTGTGGTACCAAATAGGGCTGCACAATATTAGTATTTCGATATTTTTGTCGTTTACCTAAAATTGCCATCTGCATTGCAACACAAGAGACAAATAACAAAAAATAAGCACAACATTAATGACATTCAAATGCATATATGTATTTATACTTTTTTGTTGTTCTTGTTGAATGTTGATGTGTCTGTCTGTTTTGTTGTCTTTAATAAAGGAAAAAATATATATATTTGTTGTTTTATATCACGGATCTTTTTGATATGGATATCGCATGCACCAATATCGCAATAACAATATTTTTTCGATATATTGTGCAGCCCTAGTGCCAGAGACTTTAGTGTAATGGAAATAAAACCAGCTAGAGTAGAGCTGGCAAGAGTAGAGTAGGGCCAAGAAGGGTCCAGTTTATTGTTGCCCAGTTCAAGAAGAGTAGGAATAAAATAAGCAACAACGAAATGGACCATACCTGTGATGTGTCATGCTTGAAGATGACAGAGTTGAGGTCCCCACAGTTGTAATGGCGGATCAGGTCTTCGGTAGTGTAGGGGACCTGCACACTCCCAGCCCTGAGCGACTCCTGCTGCAACAGCGTCTGATTCAGTGCAAAAATCACCTGGAAAAAAGACATTTGAAATCAGTGCGCCATCATTCCATACTTTCTGACACACACTGAACACCATTATGATTGGCAACGCAATCCAACCAGATCTGCCCTTGAATCTTTGTCGTGTTATTTAGCGAGTTTATCCAAGGAAAATGTTGAATAGCTTGAGTGTGTGTCTGTCTGTGCTTTTGAGGGAATGGGAGAGTTTTAGCAGACTCCTGAATTTGGCCTGGGGAAATCATACATCATGCTACCGGGTTACCTTTCAGTCGCTGCCTCTGATGAATGAGACTGCAGGTCAAGATCGGACTTGTTTAGTTTAGCTTAAATGGCAAACGTGATGCATTGGGTTGGGAGGATTTATAATTTGTCAGCAGTTTGCGTACATAAAGCTGACTGGATAATACTGTCTTTGTTGAAATGACTTTAAAGATCTTTTCAAAGTTAAATGACAAAGGTTCTTTCTTGTGAAGATCTGAGATGAAGTGGATAAACAAAACTATTAATTACTGTTTTTATTTGACATAGCTGTTCTGTGTATGACTGATGGCAAAAGAAACACAAGCCTTGTCTAACTCCTTCCTACTATCATACATATAGACTGTAGTTTTGGATCAACCTATCAGTCTGAGTTTCATTTGGATTTGCAAACACGTGGAGTAAGAAATTAGACAGCAGCTTGTTTGAAACTCATGACTACAATAGAAAAAACAAAAACAATTATAACCATAAAACAAACCAAACTTTCTGAATAGTTTGAAGTCAAAAATATGGGCACTGGGAGAAGGCCCTAAATGTGGCGTTACAGTGCAAACAAAAGAAGCAGCTTCAAAGCACTGATGACTTAATCGTTAGTCACGGTGCCCATGATGGCTGTTAATTGCCCCCTTATGTCGTGCCCCATTGAGCATGCACTGATTGATTAGGATTTACTGGAGCAGTGTTCTCAGCCGGGCTCACACTTTCCCCCGGATCTGCAGCGGCGAAGACTGCGGTATTGTGGGAGCGTGAAATCGGCCAGTGTTTCATCAGAGGGACCTTTTCTGCGATGGCCCCCGTCGCAGCGCTATTCGCATAAACACACTCCTCTCGGATCGAAGTCGGACAAAAGCGGTCACCTCCAGCGTTTTGATCACGGCTAGCACCTTTCACCGTACAAGTCAGGGGGAAAGGAGGACTCACAAGGCTTTATTTGTTTCTCAATGGGAGCCTTTCGTCGAAGGGGAGATGTGTTGTGTCAGCTGTGAAGCTATGTAAATGCATGTTTGTCCAAGTCCTGTTTCTCTAAGCTCAGATCTTGGTTGAAGATGTAGCAGGGTATGTTATAGGGATTTAAGGATGCAAGCTTTAAGAGACTGTATAGTTGTCTGATTTATATTGTTATTATTGGTACAATTCTTGACATGTAAGAAGCAGACATTCCAGTTTCAGGCTTATTTAAAAAATCAAAGATGAACAATTTCACACTTTGCTTTGATTTCTCCACAAAAAAAGTGATTCTTTTAAACTAACATCATGTTCTGACCTAAACCACCCCCAGGTATTCTATATATATGTTCATACCCCTTTTTTATATCATACTAGAGCCATATATTGTGTAAGCTACTGGGTTTGGTTTCCATTGTGGATCAGTGAAGTTTGTGTAAGCACAAGAGAAGCAGTGGTCTCTCCTGAGTAGTTCCCGTGCTGCTCTGTGAGGTGCTGCGATGACACTTTCCCTCTCGCAGGGCCCTTTGTGGGTCTCTGAGGAGAGGAGGAGCGCGGGGCAGCGTGGAGCAGATGCCTTCTTGTCCCGGGACAATGCCGCTCTCGGTCAGCCTCTCCTTGGGCTTTCATCGGCCGCGCATCAAAGTGGACGCTCTGCATATGAAAGGGTCCTCCGTCTTTATGCCACGCAAATTAGCCTATCGCCGCCCCTCCCCGACAATGCGACAAAAACAAGCCTCACATCTGTGGCAGGGCCGCCGATCCCGGGCCTGTGTTTCCCCTGCTGCCCACTCACTCAGCTCAGGGGGCTCAGGGGGAGAGGTGACATCAAAGAGGGGACAGGGGTGGATGCTGATGGGGAAAGATGGATAAATTAAATCTTGAGAGTACGCAAAGTTAAGTAAGTGTTTGATGTGCGTACAAAAGTGTATCAGAAAAGTCAAGACCAATGAGTAACTGTTGAGTCATTTTATATACTGTTTGTTTTTAAGCAATACGTAAGTGAAGAAAACTTGAAAATCACTGCTTTTGGAAGATAAGATAAGATATACATTATTGATCTCTACTTTCGACTTTTCTGCACCGAGAACCAAAGCAATTTCCTGTTCGGTGACTTCCTGTTACTTAAAAGGCAATACAAATGATTCTGATTCTGATATATACTTGCTTCTTTATCATGCTAAAATAAGCAATTTAATTATGTTTTAGTCTAAAGTTATTGTTCATTTATCTTGTGTTTTGTGCTCATCATTCCTGCTGTTCTGTAACTGATGATGCAACACTGAATTGATCTTAATGCCTTTTGATTTCCATGTTAATTTTCGTCCACCAGTGCACTGCATGGAGCTAACCAGGATTGTTCTGCTATTGACAACCAACATGTGTTTATGTAATATGGATCTTTAATGAGACGTTTTGTGCAATTATGTTAAAACTGAGGCGGTCATTACAGTAGATGCAACAGAAGTCAGTACTTTTTCACGTATTCTTTTAGTTATCTGAAAACCAGTCAAGGTAAACTTATCTAATGGCCATGTGGCAGATACTGAGGAAACTGCAAATGCTGTTTACCAACAATTAAAAAATCTTCAGTATGATCATCGTATTTAGATTGTTTCATTTGGGTAAAACAGTATTGTTCTGATTTAATGTTTTTCATTTTTTGTTCTCACATTGAAAAGTCAAATTCTATGACAATGCGCTGTCCTCAATATTGACATGGTAATATGAAAGGCTTCTGTTTTATGATTGTGATGTAATTAATCACAGGATTAATTATAGGATAATTAATCCTCACGACCTGCAGCTTCAAATGTGCCGCTTCCTCCGGTCGTCAGTCACTTTGATAATTCCTCCGAAGCGAGTAGTAGTAATTATAATCCAGAGATAATTGTAATCCAGTATTACTACTCGTGCTCGTTTGTATCAGCGCCTTTTCTCTGAGCGCAAAAATTCTTACTGCTTACTTTGAGGTGTGTCAAAGTAAGCAGTACTGCAGGGCTGCTCTGTGCACCTTTTTAGTAAACTTTTAACAACTTTTTAGCGCGTTTTTATTGTTCAGTTTTTTAATATATCTGAGTGTTTTATCTTTTTAATTCAGTGGTTTCAGCAAATAGCACTTAGTCCCGACTGAAACCCACTAGTAGCACAGAGGCTAACACAAGCTAACGAGGACATGGAAATTGGCTCAAACATGCACAATATTAGTCGCCTCACCTTGGAGCTCCGTGAGAGCGACCGTGCCACCATTGCAGATCTACGAAAAGAAGTCCTTCGTCTCACCGCAGAGTTGAATGAGAAACAATCTCTAGTATCCAAACTTTTTGAAGTCGCTGGTGGGCAGCATTCACGGCTGATGTCACTGATATTGTGACACTGTCGTGTGGGAGAGATCCGTCAGCTCCGGACCCTCCTGTTCTACACCTAAGCGCCCGCTTCCGAATAACGAGCCCGCGGATTCCGAGGAGCCATCCTGCGCCGTGGCCCATGTCCTGAGTCTGGCAAACCGCTATGCAGCCCTCTCCACCGACATCCCGGCCCCCTCAGCAGAATCCCTGGACACTGCAGCGTACTCTACTGCTCGAGGATCCAAGTCCACTGCGAGGAAAACGCTCCTAAAGGAAGCAGTCCTCAGGCGAAAGAGCGGTCCACCAGCCATGTTGGCCTGTTCCCCTTCTTTGACCCCAGTGCAGCAGCCTCAGACTGGGGTAGCGAGCCATCATCACCACCGCTCACCTCCACCGGGTCAGCAGCAGCGCCCAGAGCCAGCCCCTCTCACCGCTCCAGCGTCCCCGAGCACACAGCGTGGGTCGCCTGTAGCTGAGAGTCAGCACCCCCGCTCCTCCTCTCCATGTGTTCAGCGGCGCTCAGGCTCGGGTCCTGCTTCGGGTGAACCCGCTGGTTCCGTCCACCGAGCTCCTTCTCCGAGGCCGCGTCCACGTCCACTCTTCGCCCCGACCACTCTGATTATTGGAGATTCCATCGTGAGACACGTCCGCTTCTTTAACGCGGTCACTCGCTGTATTCCCGGAGCTACTGTACCAGACCTGCTCATACGTCTCCCTCCTCTGCTTCAGTCCTTGCCTGATACCGTTTCCAAGGTAGTCGTGCATGTGGGAATTAACGACATGAAACTTCAGCAGTCAGAAGTCACGAAGAAACATTTTATGGATCTGTTCCACCTCCTTCAATCCTCCGGACTATCTGTTTTTATTTCTGGTCCAATCCAGACTGTAAACAGAGGTGACTGCCTCTACAGTCGTGTTGTGGCGCTGCATATGTGGCTTCAGGCTACATGCAGCTCTTTTAACTTTGTCTTTGTGAATAACTTTGCCCTTTTCTGGAAACGTTACGAAGCCTATCGTCCAGACGGATTACACCCAAACAGATACGGTAGCAGCCTGTTGATGGATTACATACGTTATGTTGTTCAGCGTTCCCCGAGGGGGGCGTGACTGTTTACATCTGAGCCCCCTCGGACCCCACCGCACTCCCCCGCCTCCTGCTCACCAGCACCGGGTGAGTACAACGGTGCACACACTGCTCCCTGTCCGTCTGGCAGTGCATTACCAGTCCAAACACTGAACTGTGCTGACTCCCTTCTGACTCTGGGAGCTAAAGAACAACAACAAGGGTTTTCACATTTTAGGCCAATTGAGACTGTGTGTGTTCCTCGCACCAGCTCAAAAATGTTTTTAAATTCTAAAAAACGAAATCAAAACAGGACAGCAGTTAAGACGGTCCAACTCTGCAAATCTAATTTCTGTTCCCTGTAGAAATCAATCAACCACATTAATCGACTCTGACGTTATTTTTAAACTTGCTATGCTTAATGTCAGATCTCTATGTAACAAATCATTTTTAATTAATAATTTTATCACTTCTTATGATCTTGATTTTATGCTTATGGCTGAAACATGGCTCGACCAAAATACAGGAAATGCAGTTCTAATAGAAGCAACACCACCCAATTTTAAATTCGAATCCGAAATACGAGAAAACAAAAGGGGGGGAGGCATAGCTGCAGTTTTTAGAGAGCACTTGGTCTCCCATAGAATGCCCCTTGGAAATTTTTCATCGTTTGAGTATATTTCTTTTAAAATGGAACAAAAGCAATCTTCTACTCTTTTCATTGTCCTGTACAGGCCACCACAGTCATGTTGCGATTTTATTGACCATTTCACTGAACTACTTTCATTCGTGTGCACAGATTTTGATAGTTTAGTTATTACAGGTGATTTTAATGTACATGTTGATAATGTTGATGACAGAAATGCAAAGGAGCTGGCTTCTGTATTTGAGACCTTTGGTTTCATTCAGCACGTGAGTGGCCCCACCCACAGCAGGGGGCACACTCTTGACCTGCTAATTACAAAGGGGGTTAATGTATCAAATGTTAATGTAGTTGATGTTGCTTTGTCAGATCATTTCTGTGTATTTTTTGACATGTGTTTTGCTAGCAAACCACCAGCTGAATTTACAACTGTTAGAAGAAGACACATACATGAAAACACAAGTGAACTGTTCATGGGAATGCTAAATTTTGAGAAAACTCCATGCTCTACTGTTGATGAATTGTATAACTCTGTCACCACCAGTGTTCTGACTGTTCTGGACGCCATTGCTCCTGTGACGGTTAAAATAGTTACCAGTAAGAAAAAGGCCCCATGGACTAAGGCAGACTCGGTTAGGGCACAGAAGCAAGAGTGCCGGAGGGCCGAACGGAAGTGGCGAAAGTCCAATTTCCAGGGCGATTATGAAATCTTTAAAAATGAGTTGGGTGAATTTAACCGGGTTCTACGTAGAACAAGAGAAATGTATTTTTCTGACATTATTGGAGGTTGCAGTAACAATTTTCGTGTTATGTTTTCAACAGTTGGTAGATTAACGAACCCCCCTGTAAAGTTGCCCCTAGAATTTTCCTCTAAATCTAGGTGTAATGAGTTCGCACAGTTTTTCGATGACAAAGTACAAGGAATCAAAAACACTATCACCTCCACAGCACGTATAACAATGCAACAGCCAGAGAAGCTTTTTGAGCTAACTCACTTTGCACCTGTGGATACTGAAACTGTCAAAAAGATAATCATGAGTCTGAGCTCCTCCACATGTAGCCTGGATATATTGCCCTCTAAATTTCTGAAGTCCGTCCTGAGCAGTTTGTTACCTTCACTGACACAAATAGTAAACATGTCTCTGTCGTCAGGAACATTTCCTATGGCCCTAAAAACAGCAGTCATAAGACCTCTCCTAAAAAAGAGCAGTCTGGATCCTGCGGGACTTCAAAATTATCGCCTGATGTCAATAATTCCCTTTGACTGACGTATCCAAAATCGATACAAGAGCGAGACAGGAGATCTTCACGTTTAACATCTGCATTTAATTATCTTTACAATCAGATACAGAATATTCAACAAAAAAGTGCTCCTAAAACTAATATGTCCCTTTCTCTGGCCCTCGGTTGATCCTTCTGACTCTTCCCAAGCCAGAGCATTCAGTCGATGTTCAGGGAGCAGGGGGCGTGTCGTATCAGGCAGGACTTGGGCCCAACCTCTTCCATCATTTCCCCTCTGTCTGCCGTACCTTAAACAGAATCATTCACACACACTACCACTCCCCAAATTTATTACTTCTTTGAGATAAGGCAGAAGGCTCTCTGGGTCCCCCTCCTTCTTCAGGATTAGGAGAATCCCCCCCCAGATTACCTATCATTAACTCACCCATGCACTTTGGACTAACAAAGGAACATGGGGAAACCAGGTCTTTTTGCTTTAGGAAAAGACAGTTCAAATCAGGGTCAGCCAATATTCACATCTGCATAGTTAAAATATACAACAGTTTTCCCTCTTTTGACCTGATTAAAAAATTAGGTC